ACTTAAGTTTAATAACAGGAAAACATGTATTTCGCTTAGGTGTTCTCAGTCAAAACGAACGAGAGCATCATTTTCGCTCTTTTACACTTAAAAATTTATGAGTGGAAGTCGAATTTTATGATATTGTATAAAAAGCAAGATCTGATTTGAAGTCAATAGTTATTTGCTATCAATAAACAACTAGTGAAAAGTAACACTCGAACATAAAAAAAGTATACCTGCTGTAGCTTTTAACTTTGTCTTAAATTTTGCTAGTAACTTCAGTGAAGATAATCTTATAGCACATTATATGGCCAGAATTTAGTACATATTTAAATATGTCTTTAAAAGCTTGAATCTCTAAATATCAGTTGCTTTTGCTAGTCAGTTTTCTCTTTGCAGCATTTTTTTTTAATCAAAGTAAAAGTTTTTACAAACCGTTTATATAATCAGTTGTGATTAGCTTTTAATTCTTCCAAAAACATCTTTTAAATTCATGCCTAAATCTCGTAAACAAGCTCAATGGTAATAAGCTTTATTGGCAATATCATTTTGTTGACTTTTAGAAAACTTACTGTGAAAAAAAGAGACAGTAAAGCTTCTTTTTTCTTCTACAACTAATGGTTGTAATAACGATCAAGCAAAAATGAAATGTTTTCTGCTTTATTTATTTGTTTCTTCTTTATTAAACTATTTTGAAGCACTTATTACATTATATTGGTTCTTTTAGCGTTTTTATGATTCTGAAAAAAAAAATTTTTTTTCAAACTTTGGATCATTTAAGAAACTGAGGCATTATAAATGAATTTTGAACAAACAAATTAACAACCATTTTTTCTTTCTCTCTCTCTTTTTTTTTTGTATTTGTGTATGCCCTTCGTAAGGTTGCTTAATCACGAAACTTTGCAAATTGTTTTGAGGTGGCACTTAACCAAACAACGACAATAATAAGAACAAATAGAAATACTGGAAAGCGAAGTTCAATGTTCGAAAGTTTCTAAGCTTCTTGTTGAATTGTCAAGTTTTTGGCTAAAATAAAGAAAAATTTTTAATGATAATTTTAATAATAAAATAGCAGTTAATAAAAAACTCAAAAAATTTTTTATATTATATTTTTTTCTTGTAGCTTTCTTTGTTCTATCTTCTCTTCTTGATATTGCTGCTAGAAGCGTCACAGTGACATGAGTTCCGTGCTTTATACTTCACAATTCTCTCTTTGCTTTCTTTTTCGTGTATCTATATTTCGATTTCTTTAATTACAGTTATCTACCACGTAAGTAAAAAATGAATAAAAAGATGATGGAAGGTAAGGAGAAGAGGAGCAAGAAACAGCGAATAAGGAAAGGTAGAAGTATTAAAATTAAGTTTTAGACTTTTCACCGCTGTTGGTGACAAAAGCAAGATGATTGATACGTTTTTTATTATGTTTTCCTTTTTTCTTCTTTTTCTTCTAATAACTATTCTTTAGAAAACAAAACGATATGTTATAGAAGAAGGCAAAATAGTAAAAGTGAAACTGTCTTTTATCAGAAGTTGCATTTATTTTTTTATCTTCTTCTGTGGTTACTTATAGCGGCTATACTGGCAGTCCTGTAATGAACAATAATTGAACAGCAGTTGCTGTATGTAACTACTGATCATTTGATTTGTAATATTTAGGAGGCAATAGCCAACTCACCAAAAGTTTATTCAACAAAAAAACAATAAATTTTCAGTCATCAATTCTGTTGTTATTGCTGTTTTTTACCTGCCTCATCTTTGTCATTCATTTTCCAGTTTCCGTTGCATTCTTTAGCTTTCGTTTTTATTACTGCTAAAACTTTGATGTTTTTTTTTTTTTTCTTATTTATCGTTGCTGCTGCCGTTGCAGTGCTCGAAACGTGCTATTATCGATTCCACAGTTGTTATCCGTTGTGTGGTGTGCGTGTGTGCTGTATTCGTTGTTAATTAAAAGTGACCAAAAAAATTGATCGAAAAAAAAAAGAGAAGAAAAACAAACAAATTCAATATTTCTATATAGTTTTTCAAATGCATTCTGTTGCCAAGAAAAAGAAAGACAAAATAGAAAAAAACGGAAGAAAAGCTTATTTTTTTTCTACAGGTTTGTCATATGTCAGTGTCGTATGGAGAAGAATTGTGCAGTAACTATAAAAAATTTAACTCATGATCGAAAGGTAAGATAATTCTAAAGTTTTATTTTGTTGTTGTTGCTTCATTCTTTCTACTTTTACTTTTGTTTTTGTTTTTATTTTTATTTTTTTATTTTTGTTTCATTTTATTTTTTTTCTTAATTTTTTTTGTTTTTCAAATAATGTCATCACTGTCAATCGACCTCTCAAAAGTTGAATGTCAACCACCAAGATAACACGCATTAACGCTAGCTTTCTAATGATTATTAGTTATCTCAGTGAGTGGGTAAAGAATTCAGGTTGCAAAGTATTGCAGCTTTAGAGGTGGTAGAAAGACAAGAGATTTAAGCTACTTGTTAGTCTGTCAATTATTTGCAATTTCCGTGTTTCTTCTCGACTGTTTTTCTTTCTACAGTTATCCTTTGTCTGTGTGAGATATTTAAAACCTGATAGTTCTTCTTTATATATATGTAGAAGTTTTGTGTATGAGTTTTAATATCTACTTCTTAGTTTGATCTACAGTATTTGTTGTAGAGAAAAGAAAGATTAAACAAGCCAGCTGATCTGTACGCTAGAAAAAAGTGCATTTCAGAAAAATAGCGCTTCTTGTTTTGTTCCATTTCCGGGGTCGTTAATTTTCACTGTCAGATTGTTATCTACCAGTTGGTGATCAGTTAAAAATCTGCTGACAAAAGTTCTTTGTACTGATTACTGCTTATTAATTCTATTGTTTTCTTGACAGCCTTCACTACCACTTCTTACCGCATTCTTCCCGTTTCTCTTTCTATCTTTTCGTCCTCCTCTTGTTAATCATATCTAATAAAAAAAAAATGAAGATTCAAAGAAGAGTGGAGCAAAATTATGAGATATGTTGCTGTTTCTTTGTATCGGAAAAAAAAGGTTTTTTTGCTTTATATTTTTGTAAAAGAAGAAGAGAAAAAAATTTTTTTAATCTTTCATCTTTCTTTAGTTGATTTTAGCTTAGTTCTATTTTGTTTTTTTTTTTCTGATTTTCAAAAGGCTGCTAATTTATGTGGCGATAAAATGAAAATGGTTTACAAAGAGCTGTAGTTGTGAAAAAGCAAAGTTAAATTACTAAAATGTCTTGTTTTGATATTATTTTTTCTTCTTTTCACTTCTTTATTTTTCATCGATCTTTTCGGTGTATCTTTCAATTACAAATTTTTTTCTGTTGTTGTTGTTGTTGTTTTTGTCGTTGCTGTTGGTCGTCGACTTAATCAAATCATCTCGGTTTATATAATTGAAATCGTCAGCCTAAGTTAACAACACTTTAAACACAAATATTACTGAAGACCAATTTTTTCGTTTTGGAAATCCTCTTTTCCTCTCTGCTGTCTTTATGCCTACAGATGGTATTTGGAAATAATTTTTGAGAAAAATAAATGGAAGACAGAACAAGGGGGAGGAGAGGAGAGGCGGAGGGTGCAGAAGAAATGAAAAAGAAAAAAAAACAATTCAGCCAAGATATGATGATGATAATGGTTTTGGTAACTATTGGAAATTTGAAAGAATCGGTCAACAACAATACTCTTCAATCCAATTAGATGTACAACCTAGTCAGTGCTCGGTGGTAAAACCTTTTTAAAGAAAATTCGATTAAAAAGCTTTCCTCATTGCCAACTTTAAGTTTTCGTTTTTCTTGGAGCTTTTAGTTTAAACAATATGTTAATTAATGTGCTGTTTATTGCTTAAACTGAAATTGACGCATAAAGAAACAAAGAAGCTTTGAGTTGAAGAAAAAGACGAATTTTAAAAGAGGTTTTTGGAGGTATGGATAGACGCTTTATAGGGTACAAAAAGCTTTTAGTAGAATGCTTTCTAACTTAAAATTAATTTTTTATTACTTTATTTAAATAAATTTTACATTATTATAACCATAATCATCATTACCATTGTCTCTACCGTTATACTGTTTCCAAAATTTGTTGGATTTTTCACAACAAAATCTTTAATTCTATAAACAATTGGGTTTTTTTTCAGAGACAGAGTTTCACTCTGTTTTGCCCTTATGTATACTTTCCGGTTGTTCTTTTTTTCCATGTGCATTTGACAGCGTCTGCTGGCGCGCTCAATGGACGTTTGGTATTTGCATGTGGTTGAAGGGAAGTAGATCTAAACTATTGTAATTTGCAAGAAAGAAATTAGGGAAGATCACATACATGTGTTTGCACATACGAGCAAATAGTTATGCCACTTATTTTTTTAAACTTTAGAATAAAATCGTATGAAACAAATTTTAAAATGGCAGAAACTTTTGTGCATTTGTATGTATATGTGTAATTTTAGGTTTTAAAGTATAGAACTTGAAATCGATTTCCTTCGCAATAAAAACACTGCTTTTGCAAGAGGATCAAAAAAAATGAAGGGAAAAAGACAACGTTTTCTCTAAAAAGTTAGTGGGGTGGAGCTTTGTAAATGCAAGAAGCAAAAAAGCTCCTAAATATATTCTGAGGCTGCATCATCTGCATTCCTCAACAACCAAAGCCAAATCACCTAAGATCTTTCGGGATAAACAACAGATCGGTTACCCTTTTCACTAACAACTGCATCATCGCCATCATCCCAACGCCATCATTACCAACACCACCACCACTTCACTACTCCCCTCTACTCCGCCATCACTATCTCGCCAACACTGCTAATAGTTAAATTACATCGCTTCAGCATTATTATCAATTTGTAGAATTGAATTGAACCACATCTCTTCTTGCTACTAATTATTTTGGCGAAATAAAAATACATCTAGGATACTTGAGGTAGCAGGTTTTTGTAATTTTTTTTGTTTAAACAAATCTGTTGGTTCCCATCAGCAGTCGACATTACTGTTTTGAAATAGTTTTATTGTAAAGAAAACATCGGAGGAAGTGAATTATGAATAGCAATAATTCGACGGGAAATCTCTTTGATAAGGAGTCGATGATTAATAAAATACAGCAATCGTCACGTTCCTCGACAATGTTCCAAAACGTGCTACTTTCATTCCTGCTGACTGCGTTTCTGTTGTTTGTACTCTGTGTAGTACTTACCGGTGTGATGAGCGAAAAAGGTATTTGTTGTCGTTTGTGTCGTCGTAAGCGAGAAAAAAATTTGGAAAACGGTGTCAGCAAACAACCGTCTTCAAGTAGTGAACCAAGTATATCACGTTGGGAAACCGTTGGCAGTGAACTGTCATCGTTTACTGGATCTCTGTTGGGTATGAAAATCGACGGATATTTAGAGAACGGTTTGATCCGTGAAACCGGTAAACTAATTTTTTAGTATATTTATTACCAACACTGCCTTCTTTCAACTCTCTTGTTGCCAATTTTTTGCTTTATTTCATTTTACCGTTTTAGTATTGTTGTATACCAAGGGGTTTATTGCAACTAAAGTCAGGATTTTTCAATTTTCTTCGCAATAATGCAATTTCATTGATTTTCTCAGTTTCTTTAGAGTAGAACTTTTTTCTTTTTTTCTGTCGTACTATATTTGCAGAGACTTCTGATGACATATTAACAAGAAAATTAGAATGAACATTTTTTTATCAATCTTTCTTGTTTGCTTCGCTCGTCAGTTTAAAAAAATTTTTTTCGATTACTTGGCGGCAGCAGTAGGAATAACAACGGCAGAAAACAGTAATTATGGCAAGCGACAAAAGCAGCTGTAGATGAGACAGCTAAAATAAAATAGACAAATTCGTCTTAATCCTTTCTTTTCTTTTTTCGTCTTCTTTGCTAATAAGGCTTTGGTTTTCATTTTTGGCTGAGAGTAGAATTATTTTATCCTTCCGTCTCAATGACTCGTTTCATTTTTTGAAACCGAGAAGTTTGAAACACAACAATTTGAACGGTTTATTTGATTCCTGCTTCCTGCTCATCTCACGTCCCTCCTTCAGCATTTTTCACCGTTCAGCGCGCAGTTTAGCACTACTACTTGACGTAACTAAATACACATCTGTAAACTTCCTCTTTTTTAGTTCTCTTTTGATTTTTTATGCTATTGTCTCCCCCCTTTTGTCTTGAGGTACAGAAAAAACAGAGATAAACAATCAGTTGGCAATATTTGCTCGTCAATATCAGCTTTTGGATTTTTTCTTTCTCTCCTTTTCTTTCGTTGTTTTTACTGTTCTGAAACTTGTCCTTGTTTCTTCATTATTTTCTTGCATCATAATCAGCCACTTTTTCATGAATCTTACTGGGAGCTTGAAATGATTAGTAGGATTAACATTCTGGATATTAGA